ATAACCTTTGCCTTATTTTTACCAACTTTTTCCTAAATTACCCTTTGATTAATTCCACAAATTACAAATAAATGGTTTTTATAATTTTATAAAATTAAGAAAATATAAAAGAGTAATACACAAGACATAGATTCATGTACAATTTTTTTTTTTTAAATTATGACAGAAAATTATTTATTTTTGCTTATACCATGGTCGAATCTACTAGTAGATTAGGTGTTCTACGAATTTGAATAAATCTACGAGTGGTAGAATGAANTATTCTACTAATTGCTCAATTTCTANATATCGCANATTGCACAATCTACCATTTGCTTCAGTACTACCAGTCGCAGAATGCTATTTCTACCAATATCTTTGTCATCTACGCCAGGCAGAATGTACATTCTACCCCTTCTATCTACCTCTTTCTCTATCTTCTACAAAATGGTAGAAAGTCTAAACTACCAAAAGTAGTTTAAATCCCCTAAATCTAGGACAATTAAATATTTACTTTCCATAAAATNANTTTTTCGGATATTTGCTTCCAATTACGTTTTTTCTTTATTTATTTTTATAAATTGTTTTTATTATTTTTTTGTAAAATATTTTTTCGGATATTTATTTCTAATTGGAAAAAACACATTCTTATATATTAGTAAATATTTAAAATAAATTGTAAAAACGAAAANCATTTTTATAANTANTTATTTTTTAAGAAANNNTTTATTTAAATATTTATTTAAATATCCGAAATCATTGTAAACATATTTATTTAAATATCCGAAATATTTATTTAAATATTTAAATATCCTACGTTAACATATTTATTCTAAGAAAAAATTTATTGTAAATATTTTAAATAAATTGTAAAAACNAAAATNATTTTTATATATTAGTAAAAGATTAATTTTTCTTAATTTAGAAGGATAAAATTGAGATTTAAAAATATGAAAGGTTATTGGGACAAATAATCATAGGTAGAAGGTTAATTTACAAAACGCTAATTCAAACTGAGTCAATTTAGCAAATTTCTCCTTTTTTTTTTGTCTGTTTGTGTCTCCAAAATTTCAGGACCCACTGACAGTGCAAATGATGAAAGGGATCGTAATTTTTTTTTTAACTAAAAAAAAGGATCGTAATTGCAGATTGAATGAGTTCAATTGACAAATTCACATCAATGCATATTTTAAACACACAAATTTCTATATGTTGAAGTTTGATTAATATTTCTACTTATGTTAGGTCAACAACTAAACATTTAACTTTGA